GAAATAAAGGAAGAACCAACTCCGATTAGAGAAACTTTTCCAGAAGAATAACTATTAGTAGTAACAGAATTACCATGATATGCAGATATATTTAATTATCTAGCTACTGATACTATTCCCTCTAATTATACCTGGTCCGATAAAAATAAATTTATAAGTGAGGTACGAAAATTTTTCTGGGAAGATCCTTACCTATTTAAATATGGTAAAAATCAAATTATAAGGCGTTGTGTACCTAATCATGAAATAGGTTAGGTTATTCAGTTTTGTCATTCCGAAGCTTATGGAGATCATTTTGCTTCAAAGAAAACCGCTGCTAAGATTTTGCAGTGTGGATTTTATTGCCAACTCTTTTTAAAGATGATCATATTTTTTGTTTAAATTGTGACAGATGTCAAAGAATGAGAAATATTTCGAAAATAAATATGATGTCTTTGAACTCGATTTTAATCATTGAAATTTTTGATTGTTGGAGCATCGATTTTATAGTTCATTTCCCCATCTTTTGGATATCTGTATATTTTGGTTGCAGTCGACTATTTCTCTAAATGGGTAGAGACAATTTTATGTAAAAATAATGATCACATAACAATGATCAAGTTTTTGAAAGAAAATATTTTGTTCAGATTTGAAATTCCTCAGATCATTATAAGTGACAGTGAATTACATTTTTATAATAAAGTTTTTGAAAATCTTATGAAAAAATACTTAATTTTACATAAAATATCTACTCTACATCATCCACAGACAAGTGGACAAACTGAATTAGCTAATAGGGAGATGAAATATATTTTAAAAAAAACAGTAAATCCAGATCGTAAAGATTGGTCCATAAGATTGACTGATGCGCTTTGAGCTTACCGTACTGCATATAAAACTATTTTAGGGATGCCTCCTTATCGGTTAGTATATGAAAAACCATGTCACTTGCCTGTGAAATTAGAATATCAAGTGTATTGGGCAATCAAAATGATGAATTTTGATATAGACAAAACTGGAATAGCTCGTAAACTTCAAATAAATGAATTAGAGGAATTAAGAAATGAAACTTATGAAAATACAAAAATTGCTAAATCAAGAACAAAAATTTTTCATGATAAAAATATCATGTGAAAATCTTTTGAACCATCTCAAAAGGTGCTATTATATAATGCAAAACTTTGTTTATTTCCTGAAAAATTAAGATCAAGATGGACAGGTGAATACAGAGATATTCTTTGATCCAAGAGAGTTAACACTAAGAAAATTCAAGAAGTACGAGAAGTTCAAGAAGAAAGAATGTAAATGCACAAGTGCAACGAAGACAATGGAAAAATTGGAGATAATCTACGATCATCTACAAATGTCTCATAAGGCATATAGCACAATGGAGATGGCTGTGAAGATCTTAGCTATTGAAGGAGGTGGATCTCATCCTCATGAAGTTGTCAATAATTCCATGAAACCCCTCGATCATGAAGTACTTTGCAAGATAAGGATTTGAAGTTGTTGGAAAATAGACTTGATTTTAGAGTTTTATTATATTAATGTGGTGCGTGTTAATATTATATGTTAGTGGAAGAAATATGTTAGTGCGTAATCAATATCGAAATAGCGAGAGACAAGAGTAATAGTTATCTCTTTATATTTTAAGAGTTACAAAAGTTAGTGGAGGTAGTTGTGTACAAATGTAATGGTAGGAATTATGACTTAGACCTATATAAATAGGATATATGTTCTAGTGTTTGAAGGAAGTAGAGTTGAGTAGAAGTTGAATAGTCCAAGAGTAGAAGTTGAAGAGTCCAAGATAAGTGTGTTCTTTGTAATCAACTTGAATAAAACTATTTTTTATTTGAGTGTTCATATCTTCCTCTACTTCTTTTTATTTTGTTTCTAGCCCCCTTGACTCAAATAAAATGGTATCAATATTTAACCAAAGTAATATTAGGGTAATTCCAAAAGCTCCTACATTAGAAACATCCATGCAATTATATTAAGTGAAAGACGGTTTGATGTCTTCCTCACTTATTACATGAACATAATACCCATCATCTATATTTATATTTATTTTATACTACTAATAAAAGTATCTTAACATGAAAAATTTTTAATTCTCTATTTTTCCCTCATAAAAAATTACAAAGACCACTATATCCATTCACAATTAAATATCTAAATTATCTAATATTTTTTTTATATATTTAAATCTCTAAATTACCTCTAACCTCTCTTTTAAGTATCTATATATTCTCTCTGTATATATATCAATTTCTATGAAATTTTTTGATTGACCATATTATCTTTAAAAAATATGAATCTTTATATTTTCAATAAAGTGTTAAAAAAATTGTCAAAAACTCCATTAATCTAATATTACTCATCTCATACGCAAATATAACATTATCTGCACATATGTTTATTTTCTTTTTCATTAAAAATTTAATCCTTTTATTTCTAAGATAAAAAATAATTGTATATATAGTTTTTAAAAATTTATTTACGCTACATCAATAAAATTTTTCAGTCAGAATAAACTTTTCAAGTTGTATTAAAATTTTATGTGAAAATAGTTTGTAGTGTATTCTTAAATAAAAATTATTTTTTAAAAAATTTTGATTTGTTTAAAATATATATTATAGAGTTGTATATTAAAACTTATCTTAATTGGCATAACTAATTCTTAATTACAATAAAATTCCAATGTGAGTAGTATATTAACAATTACTTTTATTTTATTCAAATTTAAAGAATTATAAGTGGAATCCTAATCGAATGAATTTCAAAAAGTTTAATTTCTCAAACATCATTTAAAAAACACTCTCAATCAAAAAATTCTAAAAAACTAGAACTTTAACTATTTTTGATATATTTTTTTTTCTTATGATTAGAACAACGAATTTTGAGAATATACAAAATTTTCTTAATCCTATAATAGAAATTAGTCTAGTAAATTTGAGATGATATTTAATTCAGATACATATATACTAATATGTTATATTAATTTTTTATGTACAAAAACTATTTATGTGCAACGCACATGGTGCATTTGCAAGTATTTTTAAATCTCACCTCCAATTAATTACCGGTGCACCCCCGGATATCATAACGACATAAAAGTCTCAAATTTGGATTTGTAAACAAACCATGTTTGTAAGTAAAATTGGCAAAACTTAAAATTTTAGAATATGTACGTTTTGCATCATGAATTGCGATCTTGGTTAACAGAAGTCATCCTGAACATCGAGTAAGTCTTGGGTTATCAACTAAATTCAGTATGTTGGCGAATGATTGTTCATTTTGTGTTGTCTTCATTGAATTTATAGTTTGATTCCATGAATTCCTAATGTACTATTGTTGTTGTCCGACCTCCCAAATCGGAGAATATTTCCATTCAGAACAAATGGCATATTCGGTGTTTCTTACTACAAAAGCTTTTTGACCTTTGATTAATGTTTAAGGAAGTAAGCGGGAAACCTATTTTGTACACATAAATGGGGTTGCCTGTTCTTATGGACTGGCAGACATATACTCTCTCTCTTTTTTTTTTTTTGGAGGAGGAAAACATGAACCCTTGATCCTAAGAAGACAAAGTTTTCACAAAATAAAGAGTACTATTTGACCAAAGATCTCTCGGTGGCTGACATATACCAATCACACATTTTTGGATTATAGAGCGGGTCCTAAACCTCAAACACACCACACGAATTGGCACGTAGAGGAGCAGCAGGAGTTTTCCACCCATATAAGGCAATTCTTTAACTATATTTTTTCAATGTTGTCCTTTCTAATTGTTTCATAAAAACTCATGTTTTTCTTGTCGGAGTTCAGGTCTTTTTATACTATTGTTTAGTTATATATATGAGGATCTATACTTAATTCGTATCCCTTTTGACTCACATATTTATCTAATTTGCTATATAAAATGCATTTGTAAAATATGATTTAAATAAAAAAACTTGAAAGCGTGATTTGCAAGCAAACTTTTATATTAAAAATGTGAGTTTGAACTACACTATCATAAAAATGAAATTAGTTTAAGAAATAAATTAAAGGGTTAATCTTAACTTGCACTTCGAAAGATCATTTAAATCTTAATTTGTACCCTCAAAGATCAAAAATCTTAATTTGTACTCTCAAATATAGAAATTTGTATCAATACGCACCTCAAGCTAGCAACCGTCAATTCACCGTATAAAATTAAATGGATAAATTATACTTAAACTCCTTCAAGCTTGTTACTTAATCACCTAGACCCCTCACATTTGAAATATTACACCTACATCCATTGAAAATTCAAATATGACTAAAAATGTCTCCTCAATTGGACATTCAAATGAATTCTATTTAAGTGGTATATTGCATTGGATATAAAAAACATTATATAAATACTTATATTTTTTTGAGCATTCAAATGATAAACTTAATTTTGAACTTTAGAGTATATCGAACCTACAAAATAAAGGGTAATATGAAATTATATTTTTTTATTAGGATGAAATCATATTTTTTAAATGTTATATTAATAGATATTAACGAAAAGGGATTACGCATTATATGTGTATAAACGTCATGAGATGTTAGAGTAATATTCTAAATGTGAGGAAGTCTAAATGATTAAATGACAAGCATAAGGAGATTTAGGTATAATTTATCCGTTTAGTTTTAGACAACAAATTGAAGTTTTGATATTTGAATGTACAAATTAAAATTTGAACGATATTTCAGTGTTTAATTTGCAATTAACTCTAAATTAAAAAATGAAAGGTAAAAAAGTTATAAAATCACCGTACAAAGGCGATTGGTTCAGAGTAGTGGGAGAACAAATTCGCCCAACGGGAGTGTGGCAATCTCACCTTATCGACACTCCCACCACAACCTCAATTTCCCTTTTCACATCACGCCTCAGCACTATCTAAACCAAAAAAAAAAACATCGAACACTGCTGCATCTCACACCATATTCTCTACTTTGTTCTGGGGTGAAGTGAATTCCTTTTCTTCTGATCATAGTCATACCACAACCTGCAATGGCATCCAGGAACTCTAGCGTGCTGGCATGCAACTACGCCATATCGGGTGCCGGATCGTCAGATCTCGGTGCGAAGCATGCCTCTATGCCTTCCGTGGCTTCTCCCGTCATAAACTACCAGTGATCAGGGCCCAACAGGCTAATATTGATTCAAAAGAGTTGCACGATTCTGCCAGCCAAGGAAGAAGAGCAGCGATTCTTTGCCTTGCAGCTGCCCTTTTTACAACTGCTGCCTCCACCTCTTCTGCTAATGCTGGAATCATTGAAGAACTACTTGAAAAGAGCAAAGAAAACAAGGTTACTTTTTTTTTTATATGGTATAATTTAATGCCTGTCATGGATTGGAGTCACGAAAAATCCTCTCTGCTTGCATGAAAAAACTGCGCATGTTAACATTTTCTAGACCCCACAGTGCCCGGAACATCCACTGTGAGCATTCACAAGTTTTTAATAGACCAAGATAGCTGCCTAGTTTTTATGCTAATGTTGGTTTTTCATAATTAGTTTTATCTTCTCGTACACTGAACCACCTTATAAGTTTCTAGCCTCTATTTGTGCAATGAAATATTTAAAAATATTTATGTCATGATATGAATTGAATGATAAGTAGAGGTTGGCTACAAGCGGCGCAAACTTTGCAAGGGCATTCACTGTTGAATTTGGAACATGTCAGTTCCCTGAGAACTTCACTGGCTGCCAAGATCTTGCCAAGCAGAAGGTTAGTTTGAAGCATATTCACTGTATTTATTTCTTTTCTGGGTTTAGTTGATCATTTTTGTTCACTCAGTTTGTTTTCTC